TCCTCTCTCCCCTTCTCTTATGCATGTATGGGCATGTGTGAGATTGTCTGTGTGTGAGTGGCGAGGAAATTCGTCAGACAACCAAGTTCATAACAGTTGGTATCGGAGCGAGATTGGAATTGGAGCACTGAGGGTTGAGCGCACTGAGGCATCTTCTTCATCCTGGCGATATACTGGCGAGAGTTTCATGGCGATTCATCTTCCCCAATACTGAGTCAGTAGGGAAGAAGACTTTCAGCGGTGAATTCAAGTGTTCAGTGGCTGCACTGAACAAGCGCACTGAGCCTGTCAGGGCGCTTGGCAAGAAGTGGCGAGTACAGGGCTAATTCGCCATAGCCAACCCTGAGGGTGATACACTGAGTTACTCCAGAGTGGCGAATTATCCCTGAAGACATCAGGGAACCCTGCACGGCAATCTGGGGCTATTTTTAGCATCAGCGGCTACCTGACCCTGTGGCGAGATATTGTGGAGTTGGCGAGTTGGGTGCCACAGGACCAGATACAGGGTATCTGGAGTTAGGGAGTGCAGCGCTACAGGATCCTGAGGAGGATCAATGATTTTGAAGCAGTTCTGTGCGTGGGATTATCAGGAAGAAGCTCTGGAGGAAATTGGCGAGAGATAAGGGTTTCATCTGCCATAGCCAGATCTTCATCATTTCCTGCAAGATTCGCAGAAAGTGAGTCCGTTCCATGCACCTACCTGTATTGCGATCCAGATAGTAGTAGATTAGTGAAAGATAATGGTCTATCTGTCTGTCAGTGACTGGATATGAAAACCGCAGACTGCATGACAGCCATAGTCATCTCTCCCCTACCTCTCTCTGCTCATATCTCCTCCTCTGTTGACTCTTTCTAGTCCAAATTGGTTCTGTGACTGCTATATTGTATTGCAATTGTCCTGGGATACTCTAATATTGAATTATGTACTGAAAAGGTAGTGATACTGTGAATTATAGTTTTGCGCCGAGTCTATCTTTAGCCTGTGCTATCTAGGGTCAGTCATAACTCTAATTCTGTCCGTCAGAATTCAGTTCTATCAGTCCCCAGTGAACCGCAAATTGAAAACAGTCAGTACTGTCAAATCGCCGATTTGGATTTTGAGTATTTCACTGGATACAGTGAAAACTGGAATTCGCCATACCCTAGGGTATGGCCGCCAGAGTCATCAGGGTCTGAAAGTGAGTTTGAGTCAGGATACTGGGTATCTGTCTGCATCGCGTGTTGTGATTGATCTCTCTTGTCTGTACTAACCACTTTCTATCATTCCCACTGACTACTCTTGTTTTCTAGTGGGAACTGAAAATTCTAGTGGGTCTCTGGAAAAGTAGTGGATTGACTATACTAACTCCAGTGTGGTCCAGGGTCAGTAAAAGGAAATCGTGTGACTGATTTTGCTGGACTTACAGTCTGTCTGACACCTGACCCCAGAGACACCCTTCTAACCCAAACCGTTGATTGCCTGTACACCCACCTACTCCAGTGTTGAGTTGCTGCAGCGATTCCAGTGTATCTGCAGGAATCTGAATATCGCTGCAGCTCTGTCTGCTGTGATTTTATTTCTGGCTTTTATTTGAACTGGGGAAATGTCGGAGCAGGGAAAGGAGCAGCAGCCACAGGTAGAGGTTGTGGTGAAGGCAGAAGGTGAGCAACCTTCTACCTCCATTACCCCCCCTCCACCTCTGACTGCTACTCAGAGGCTGAAGAAGGAGGCAGAAGAGGAGCTCAAGCTGCAACAGGCCAGAGTAGCTGAATTGGCACGACAGGAGGCTGCTGAGCTAGAGGCTGCAACAAATCACTCCAGAAGGGAGTATCTGTTGCAGCAGCTAGAGAGGTCACTCACTGATGACTGTTGTGCCCAGATCACCAAGCATATGGTTGAGATGATCCTGCTGGAGCACAAGATCACCAGCTCCCAGTTCACAAACTGGGATGACCGTTTTGTGCGGCTGGAGCATCGGGTTGACGAGCTGTCAGCTCAGCAGTCCAAGATCCTGGATGCTATCCAGGGCTTGTCTGCTCAACTGGCAGCCGCCAAGCTGATTACTCAACTCCCTCTGCTGCAACCCAAACCCTCTCCTCCTCCTTCACAACCTCCTTCCCCTCCTCCATCCCATGCTGGATCTGCACATTCCTCCCGGTCATCTACCCCTTCCCAAAAGGCCTCAGTAAAGGCCACCTATGCTGCTGTGACTGCAGCAGACAGAGGTCCCAAGATCCCTGATCCCAACAAGTTCAGGGGCGATGACCCCAAGACTGATGTTGGGGACTGGGCTGCTGGGACCAGAGCCTACTTGAGGGGCTTTGTCTGTGCAGAACAAACCAAGGTGGCAACTGTTTTGGGGCTGCTAGAAGGGCCTGCACTGAAGTGGGCTACCTCAACTTCCAGCAGTCTGCAGCAGTCCATGGAGGACTGGGCCTTTGGATTGGGGGTAGACAGACTTCTGCAGGCCCTGGAGGACCCGTTTGCAGACAAGGAGCGGGCCCGCAAGGCTGCTGACAGGATTGCTCGCCTGGGACAACAACGATATAGCGGTACCCTACACGCCTTGTTTGCTGAGTTCGAGCAGGTCACCTCCACCCCTGGGCTGGTCATGGCACCTGATGATATGTTGACCAGCTTTTGCAGGGCAGCGCCTGAGAAGTTCGCTGTTGCACTCTACAGCGCTGGGTACAAGGACTGGAGGTCCTTTCGTCGTGCAGCCCTGGAAATGGAGGCCAAGCTCCATGTCCAGGCCCCAACCTCTGACAGGAGGAAAGGTGCCTTCCCTAGAGGCAACAGAAGGGGAAAGGCAGACTTTACTCACGCGGGGTCTGCCTCAGGATCAGATACCGATTCCCAGCCTGATGTGCCTTCAGGTGGGACCGAATCTGCTGCTGAGACAAATGTTGCAGCAGTGGTGACTCAGGCTGTGTTGGGAGCTCTGCAAGCGCAAAAAAAGTACTCCCCCTCCACAGCCTCAGCCATTACTAAGGGGAAGGATAAGGGACGTCGACCTTCCTCTTCCCAGCGCCCCAATCTGCCTCGAGACGTCCACATGCCAGCCGAACCTCTCAACCCCTCCACACTCCCCTGGCATGATCTCAAGATCTAGGAGGGAGTCTGGAGAAGAAGAAAGGAGAGAGGGGTTTGCCTGAGGTGTGAGGGCCAGCACTTCTTGAAGGACTGCCCTTACATGCCAGGCCCAGGGAGTCAGCCAAAAAACTGAAACAGACCCTGGGGGCTGCAGTTCCCTCCAGTGCTGCATCTTCATCTACTCAGGTAGGTGAATCTGCAGCTGTTTCAGTTGGGACTAATGATGATGATGTGTGTTTGGGGACTGCGCGGGCAGCATCCTATGAGGATCCTGACCCGGATCAGGACCCGGGGCAGGATGAGCTTCAGTCTATTGCAGCCTTCTTCTTTCATTTGAAAGAACAAAAGGAGAGCAAGTCTGAACTCATCATGCTTCGGCCACTGATCAACAGCACCAGGATCACTGGGCTGTTAGACTGCGGGGCCACCAGGAACTTCATGTCTCCCAGTGCAGTTAAGAAGCTGCACTTGGGCATGAAATTTCAGCAGCTGCAACATCCGCTGCTGGTGCGAATTGGTGACTCTACAGTACTCAGCATCAGGGAGAAGGTCAAGGGAATACCTGTGACCTTCGATACTGCAGGAAAAGTCAGACACAGTCTGAACTTTTACATCTTCCCTGAGCTTCCCTTTGACTTGGTGTTCTCCATGCAGTGGTTGAGGGCAGTCAACCCTAGAATCGACTGGCAGATCCCTAGAGTTGAACTACCAGACAGCGAGGGGGTGTATCAGCAATGCATGATTGCTGCTGATCACCACCCTAAGACCTCCTGCTACTGCCTGAGAGCGAGGGAGTTCCATGCTCTCTCTCGCCAGTACCACCATGAGCGTCTGTTTATTGCTCTGGTCAAGCAAACAAATGCTCCCCGTGTTTCCTGTCCTCCTGAGATACAGCAAGTGGTAGATCAGTATGCTGATCTGATGCAGGAGCCCTTTGGACTTCCCAACCGGCCAACCAAGCATCACATCGAGCTGCTGCCTAGGGCCGCATCTACAGGATGTTCCCTGCTGAGCTTGAGGAGCTCAGAAAACAGCTTGAGACCCTGACCAGCAAAGGCTGGATCAGACCCAGCACATCTGAATTCGGTGGGCCTGTTCTCTTTGTACCTAAAGGGAACGGTGAGTTCAGGATGTGCATCGACTACAGGGGCCTCAACAAGATCGCTAGGAAGAGTACTGAGCCACTTCCTAGGATCGATGACCTCCTGGACATGGTGCAGGGCTGCACAGTGTTCAGCAGACTCGACCTCAAATCTGGCTACCACCAGATTGAGATGGCAGAGGAGGACGTCTACAAGACAACCTTCAAAACCAGGTATGGGACTTATGAGTTCCTGGTCATGCCATTTGGACTTTGCAATGCCCCAGGCACTTTCCAGACAAAGATGTACCACATCTTCAGGCCTTACCTGGACAAGTTTATGGTTGTCTACCTGAATGATATCCTGGTATCCTGGTATTCAACAAAACTGCCAGGGAACATGCGGAGCATTTGGCTCGTGTCCCTCAGTCGTTACGTGACAGCCAGTATAAGATCAACAGGGAGAAATCCTCTTTTGGAGTTCCCTCTGTCATCTATTTGGGTCATGTAATCTCTGGAGATGGCCTGGCTCCTGAAGCAGCCAAGATTGCTGCTATTCAAGAGTGGCCTCAGCCTCAGACAGTGAGGGATGTCCGGTCCTTCATGGGTCTAGCCTCCTACTACAGAAAGTTTGTCAGGAACTTTTCTGCAGCGGCGGCACCCCTAACCAACCTAGCAAAGAAGGACACTCCCTTTCTTTGGTCCCTTCACTGTCAGTTGGCCTTCACACGACTCAAGAAGGCCTTGACTCGTGCGCCTGTTATGAAGTTACCTGACCCCACTTTGCTATTCATCCTGACTATTGACGCCAGTCAGTATGGCATTGGGGCTGTACTTCAGCAGGATGATGGGAATGGTCTACGACCTGTAGAGTTCATGAGTAAGAAGATCAAGACTCAAAAGCTCCAGGACTCTACCTACGAGAAAGAGCTATATTGGAAGCACTTTCTCCTGGGCAGGCACTTCAAGATCTCTTCAGATCACTCTACCCTACAGTGGATGAAGTCCCAGGGAGAGTTGAATGATAAGTTGGCACGGTATATTCAGTTCATCGACATGTTTGACTTTGAACTGAAGCATAAGAAGGGTTGCTACAATAAGGTAGCAGATGCCCTCTCTCGTAGGCCTGACTCTTTTGCTCTGATCTCCTCTACTCACTCCTTTGGAGAGGAGACCCGTCAGACTATTGCTCGTCTACTGCCTCAGGACGAGACTTTCGGACCCATTGTCAGGAATCTGCAAGCAGATCCTAACTCTGAACCAGGCTATGCTATGAGTTCAGACCTGCTGTATACCTGTAGTAGGGGTGAGGAGCGCTTGTGTATTCCTCAGGACCAGTGGCTCAGGACACTGCTGATGTCTGAGTGTCACGATGCCCGTGGACATTTCGGGTTCCTAAAGTCTTATGCAGCCCTGTCGCAGCGCTTCTTCTGGAAGGAGATGCGGAGTGAGATGCTGCGTTATGTGGACACCTGTGAGCTCTGCCAAAGGAACAAGGTTCAGCGTAAACCTCCTTTGGGACTGCTCAAACCCTTACCCATACCTGATGGCCCTGCCCAATCTGTGTCGATTGACTTCACAGATTTAGGCAAGACCACCCCTCGTGGCATGCGTCAGGTTATGGTCTGCGTGGACAGGTTCTCCAAATACGCAAAGTTCATCCCCTTGCCAGAGGTAGCTAGGGTACCGGCTGTGAGAGCAGACTTTTCTGAGAGGTGGGTCACACACCATGGACCGCCCACCTCTATTGTCAGAGATCGAGACCCCAAATTTTGCAGCGATGAGTGGCAGTCCTACTGCAAGGACTATCTACACTCACGACTGGACATGACTTCTGGTCACCATCCTGAAGCCAATGGTTTGGCTGAAGTGATGAACCAAGTTTTATTCCAGCTGCTGCGTCCTGTCATCTCTCCAGATCAGCAGGACTGGGATCTTCACTTAGCGAGGGCACAACTCATGTATAACATGTCTGTCCACTCCTCGACAGGGTTCAGTCCCTACCGGTTACACTGGGGACGTGAACCACGATAGCCTCTCGATGATATCATCGATAAGGCTAAGCCTGATCTGACACCCGGCACAACAGAGTTCACCAGACGCTATCGTCTAGATGTGGAAAGAGCCCGCGCGAACTTGTTCAAAGCCCAAAAGGCTATGATTGAACAAGCCAATCGCCACAGGCGGCCTTCCCCGATCCGCACTGGTGACCATGTCTGGGTGGCCAACTCAGAGCTGTCGAGGGAGGAAGATATCTCTCCCAAGCTGTTGCCACGTTACCTGGGTCCATAGAGTGGGCGCTGATCCCTTCGGTCCGTCGTATGTCATCGACGTCCCGCTGCATCTACGCACCTACCCGGTCTTCCATGCATCCAAGCTGCTGCCTTTCACGCCAGCTGATGCATTCCCAGACCGGCCCCCTCAATTCGGTCCACCAATCCCTGGCAAGGGATATGACGTGGAGTGGATTGAGGACGAGTGGGGCACAGGCCCCGACCGGCAGTATCTTGTCAGGTTTGCTTTTCAGCCCCCTTCTGAGAACCGCTGGTTCTATAGAAGAGACCTGATCAAGACAGCAAAGTCCATTGTCTTGCGGTATGAAGCGGCGCAGAAGGGTAACCTTCACCGTTCACCTCGCCTGCACCCTTAGCTCGGAGGTCCTCGCTCCCGGGGAGGGTAAGCCTGCAATGACTTGCTGATTTCTGCTGCCGAGATTGACAGCGAGGCTGTACACTAACCGGTAGGTTAGATTCGTAATTTTGTTTGGCTGAAGGGCTAACCGAGAGACCTTCCTGTAAGGAAATTCGTGAGGGACATATTTGCAAATCCGGGAAAATACAGGCCCGGTACTAACCGAATTCCTACAGCTACCCTAACTGCCTATAGCAGGCCCGGGCTACCCCTAGGACAGACAGGCCCTAAGCGGCCTATGCTGTTAGACGGTCCTATCGCCTATAGCCGGGTCTGGTAGAGGCCGAGAGGCCGAGACAGCCACGGTACCGGTCGGTCAGTCAGTCCGGTAGAGGTCTAGAGAGTCTATAGATAGGTTAGGCCCATCGGTTCAGGACTTTTGGCAGTTCATTTCTCGCGAAGCAGCATTGGAGAAGCCAAGCGAGTTGGTGGCGGTACCTGTCTACAGGCGGCATCCTGAGACACGCCGTAACAGCAGCCATAGCCGGCCCTCTCTGAGTCTGCCATAGCTGGGGCATTCTCAACGCATCTACCCTTGGGGGTATCTGCTTATGGCCGGGCTGTATCGAGGCTCTACAGTGGTGGTTCGTGGGTGGTGGCATCCATAGCTGCCTGTTCCTTCGTCAGAGTTGTCCATTGGCACTGAAGACTTCATCGCAGGACCTGTTCTTCATCAGGGTGGTTGGCGCTGGCCTCTGGGAGACTGTTCTGATGCAGCGCTACTAACTGGGTGTAGGATAGAGAGTGGGGTGTGAGTTCTGAGTGTGGCGAGATACTGGAACAAACTCTGTTACGATAATTGTG